TTCTTTTGCGTCTTTTGAGATACATGGTATAGCAGTCTGTTGGGAAAATTCTCCTGTGTACTATATTAACCTTCCTAAGGATCTAATGTTGCCTGAAAGAAGAAATAAGAATTTGTCCATATCTGAATCTAGTGATAACAGCAAAAGTGCAAATCCTGAACATTCTTTGGAGATAGTTAAACAAAAGTGGAAGAGAATTGATGAAATTATGGGAAAGTCAGATGTTAGAAAATTTACCTGGAATTTGAAAATTCAGATTCAGGTGCTTAAACGTGCTGTAGTTTCCATTCAGAGACTTAGTAGGCTGAATCTTACAGAGAAGAACATGGGAATTGAACTCATAGACAACTCCTACTTATTATTGTCTTCAGTCTATATAAAAGATGGAATCGATCTGTGCATCGTTGCCTGGATTCTTTGGCCTGATGAGGAGAGAAACTCTAACCCAAACCTGGAGAAGGTAATTCTAGTCTTCATAGAAACAGTTGTTGTGATATAATACATGATGTCAGGTTTTTCTCTTCTCTATTAAGTGCTTTATAGTTTTTCAAATGAATCCTTGAGTTTTCATCCTTTGAGCACCTAAATGTTTATGACAGTTGTCCAGACTTGCTTCTAAAGCGGTAATATGGATGTTTTTTTAGGAAGTTAAGAGAAGGCTATCTGTTGAGGCAACAGCAGCTGCAAACAGGAGTGGCAGGTGGAAGAATCAGATGCGAAGAGTTGCACATAATGGTTGCTGCCGTCGTGTTGCTCAAACACGAGCCTTATGTTCTCACCTCTGGAAGATACTTATTTCTGAGGAACTTGTTGATGCACTTATGAATATCGAAATTCCATTGGTATGTTTCCTTGTGCTTATTCTTTGCATGAGTTTTTCTAGGGAGAATATCTGAGCTGGGAATGATTAATACTTTTTCATACTTGGAGCTAAAATTTGGTTGTGAAATTCATAGGCATGGTTTTGGTTCTATCCAACAAATTCATTATATTTTACCTATTTGTAGTTAGCATTATCTTCAGAACATGATCTTTATCTAATTTTGAGTTTGATTTCTCAAAATTATGGATCTGATGGTGCATGGTCACCGATAGGTTTTAAAGTAGTTTCGAAAAAGAGTTTTGAATAGGTAAATTTAATGTTTTGTATACACGATTATAGTATGAGGATAAATAAATAATAGGATTATTTAAGTTGGGTGCTTAAGAATGCATGTGTATATAAGATTAGCATGAATTCTATCTTCATCACTTTGGTGCTTGGGAAAGATTGGTTGATTGCAGTTTCTGATTTTCACCCTATTGGCCTTGTGACTAGTGTATTTACAATGGTCATAAAGGTGCTTTTGTTGAGGTTGGTAGGGATGTTGAATGGTCCTATTTCTGTTTACCGAAGTGTATTTGTGAGTAGTAGGCAAATTGTTATTGCTTCCTTCATTGCTAATGAAATTGTTGAGGATAAGGTCTAGAAGTAAGGACTTGTTTTAGAATTGAATTTTAACAAAGTTTCTGACAAGATCAACTAGGATTCTTGAACAATGTCATGTTGTAGAAGGGTTTGGTGATAAATGGTATAGATGGATTAGAGGATGTTTATCCTTTGTTTCTTGCTTCTTGCATGGTTATTGCCAATGATGACTTTGATGACTTCAAATCTTTGTTTTATGGATAGATTGGGGGGGGGGGGGGGGAGTGAGGAAGGAGGATCCT